CTAGTGGATCGATGACTTTAACCTTTCCATCATATATCTCTCCTAATTCCACAGAAAACGCTTTTTTTTTTGATACTGGCATGACTTTTGTAATCAGCAGGTCAACTAAGACTACCCCGTTTTCAGGAAAATCCGTAATTCAACATTTGTAGCGTACTACCGTCATTCTACAGTCAGGCCCTGTAGTGGGGAAAAATATGTTTTTCCTAGTTAATGTATTCGATTACACCAAATCTAGCACCATAGAAATTTTTCACGTCTTTTACGTTTTAAAAAATTGCTGTTCTCTGGACTTTTCCTATTCTTCAAACTTTCACTTTCAATCAATTTTTTGAGCAAATGAACTCAGTGGATAAGCCAATCATGATATCTTGTAATTTTAGAACTCTTTTTTATTTATTATTTTCTTCTTTATTATTTTATTTTAGAACTTGAAGAAAAAAGATGAACATATTCTACAAAATAATAGATAGCTGGTCATCTAAAACAATATTGACATTCGTTAATACTCAAAGACGATGAAGTCTCATGGCTTCTAACTTATCTTAGGTGGTGGTTGTAAAAAATACACTTCACTGCTGGTCATCATAGGTTTATCAATAAAAGACGATAGTAGCTTAAATAACTCCTTTGAGTAGTTTCGAGCCTCGAAGAAACAGGAAAGAAATACTTTCGTTTTTAAATGCAGCTCAAATTTTCGTAAGTTCACCAAAATTTAGAAAGATTGTTCCTGCTGATGTTATGAGCAACCACTCCGTATGCACATCTCTGTATCTTTTGTTGTTATTGTTAAAAGACAAGTATTGAAAAAGGCTGCCACGAATATCGGATATGGGTGGGCTTATTAATTACTAGCAAGTCTGTGCCGAACTGAGGAAATTGAAAAAAAAATGTCCATGTGCTTCTACGAAGGAAGAGTCATTAATTGTAGGGTGTATAGGGTGTACAATCTAGTATGTTTGGTGAGTTTAGACTACTATGGACTTAAGCATCGGATGTCCAGACAAGGATGACTGATTTAATCTAGCTGCTTGTGTTTTAACTTTGATTTGATGTATTCTTCAACTTTCGTTCAACACACTTTAAGAATAAGCACATATTTCTCTTACATATTTATAATTATCGGAAGGTCTTCATGTACTTCTTTAAGACGCAGCATATGATTGGGTCGCACTCATTCTGACCCTAAGTGAATGTTGAAAAATTTGTTGCAGTTTAAAAGTATTCATACGCTCGTTAATGAATGCTTCTTATGGAGAAGTACATTTACGTTATTTCGTTTAAGCGACGGTTAAGATGACGGAGAATTTTTGATTGTAGATACTATTGAATGAAAAAGAAAACGAAGATTTGAAAATTTACGCCTTTGTTGGATTTTTAGCTCTCTTTTGAAATGCTTACAAGTTCTGATGATCTGTGAAGAGTGTTCACAAAATTTCCATGATCTTATCTTCAGCAATTATGAAATCCCACCTTATAGGGAACTCACCTTCGTAAACCAATCTTCTATGATAGAAAACAGACATGCGCATATTGCAGAAAATAATTGGGTAAACCATTAAACAACACATGAATGTGCAAAACAAAACTGTTCATAGGAACGTTACACAACTAATCTAATGCCGATGCGAATCAGTGAAGTATAAGTCACAATAGCGTTATTGGCGCAGATTCAGCGTAGATGGGCTGGATATAAAAACTCAAAGATTATGTCAGCGATTTTCAATTCAACACTGGAGATAAAAGTGTGAACATGCTCCACGCAAACAAGTGC